TTTCTTTTTTGTCTAAAGTTCCCGTATCAAAGGCTTAAGCCTCTTCTGTTCCTTAAAACTCCCAACTTTTTTAAGCAAGAATGGAATATAAAAATATTCTGACTTCCTTTTAATGGCACTGCAAAACATTCCTCTTTACTTTATCCAGAAGTGAACCGGCTAAAATTTAACCATTGAGTTATTTTAACAAGATTAAATTGATAAAATCGAATTACAAGTAGCTACATAACGATCTAGCTATGGGTAACAAGATACATGTGACTAAACAACTAGTCTGGTATGTATATAAACTAAAACTGTCTCTCCACTAATCCAATGCTAAAGAGAAAGTTACGTCAGTTAAAACATCGAGAGACTCATAAAATAAAATACGAGTAAGAAAATCTATGCTAACTGAAATAAATTTGTCCACAAGCCTCATCACGCTGTAAAAGTTGATGAGATATGCCTGAGGTTAAAAGTTGTACGTTGATTCTTCATTGTCAAAGGTTTGAAAGAGAACTCTGACTGTTGATGCATAGGATACACCGGGTAAGGTGTTTTTCTTACTCAGTCACTGAGCCAGATAAGATATCTTCTTTCAGCATTGGAAGGATCTGAGAAAAAGTAGCATAACTGAGTCACCTACATAGATGTCTGTAGCCGATGGTAAGGTATTATGTTAAGACAAAATCCTAGATCTCTCCATGATGAATGGGATCTTAAACAAATGTGTTCTTGTGGTCTTTTACTATTCAGATCTTGTCCCTCTTCAGTTAGGAAGGTCTCAGAATGCATCAACTTCCATAACGCAAACAGCTTAGGAATAGCAATCATCAATATTCTTCAATTATTATCATTATTACTCCCTTGGGTTCCTAGTAGAACATAGGGCTTCAAATGCACGCCTCCATTTGCTTCTGTCTTCTGCTGTATTTTTCACCTGCATCCATGTTAGTCCATGCTCTTTCGACTCCTCTTCACACGATCTCCTCCATGTCACCCTTGCACTGACGTCCCACTCGCCGCTTCCCTTTCGGGTTCTACTCGAGAGTTTGACGCGCGATGTCACCCAGCGGTCTCCTCACAGAGTATCCAATCCATCTCCACTTTCTGCTGCATATTCGTTGGCTGGTGATTGGTTCTTCCTTTGTTTGTTCCCGTAGTTCTTTGTTGGTGATTCTTTCCAGCCATTTGATCTTCACTATAGGGTGAAGACAGCTGTTGTTGATAAAGGTCTGCAAAAGGCTGTTGGAACTATTTTTTGTGACCCGTCCGCCAAGTTTCTGTTCCATTTAGAAGAACTAACTGACTTTACGTTTGTATTGAAAATCCGACTGGATTTTGTTGTTGATGCTGAGTGACGAAGATTTCCAGATTGGTTTCTGGTTGATGGATGTGTTTCTTGCCTTCCCGATTTTCGCTTGATTTGACATCCTCATCCGTTCCTCTGGCCTGTAGTTGAAACAATGCTCCCTAGATAAGTGAATTGAGGAAGTAACCTGTTTCAAATCCCTCCCGTTGATGGTGATTGACGCTGGATGTTGTTGCTGTTGTTGGTTGGTTATTTTCATAACCTCCATCTTGTCTGTGTTCACCTGGAGTCCTGTCTTTGCTGCTTCTTCGACCGGTTTGTCGGTTTTCGCTTGTAAGTCTTTGATTTTGTGACAGTGACATCAAGCATAAATCATGCACGCGCGAAATCCAGGTCTTCTAGGTTCTTCACGTCAGTCCAGGATATTCCTGTCTTCTCGTTTCCCACTCACTGTCTGATGCATAATCCAGTCCACCACAATTAGGAATATCATTGGTGATAGTAAGCACCCTTGTCTGACTCCTGTGTTTACTCCAAACGCCTCGCTGAGTCTTCCGTTGTGGATCACTTGGCAGGTGCCGTTGTCGTACAGCTGTTGAATAAGGTTGATGAATATTTAGGGTACGCCATAGTACTCGAGTAGTTTCCAAATTACTTCGCCGTCACCGCTGTCGAAGGCCTTCTCAAAGTCTATAAAGTTGAGGTAGAGGTTTGATTGCCATTCCATGCTTTGACGATGGTCAATAAACACACATATTACTTTTATCTGTTACATTCCTATATCAGCTTCATTCATTTTTCTCTTCATTCATATGTTACATACACTGAGCAACCTCCATCTTTAACAAATGGTATAAACTTAAATAACATTCACTTTGAAAAATTGTCAGATCAAAATAAAGTGCCATTTTCACGAACTCTTAGACTGTCGGTACCAGCCACATATTGAGGTTTAGTTTACTTGACCATGATCTTCCAGAAATTTTGAATCAGTGTTCGCAGTGTCTCTGTGATATGGCTTAAAACAAGCTTTTGAGTTAGCTACTCAGGCAGAAAGGATTGTGATGACCAAGTCTGCTTCAGTTTAGTACATATCCAACAAAACACTCCCTATCTGCAATAAAACTGACTAATAACCTGTAGGAGAAGTACGGAAAAGTCAGGATTGAAGGTCAGTCAGACATGTAGAAAGATGAAGCACTGTTTTATCACCTGAAGTGTCAATAAGCATCCTTATGTTGGCCTCCTCAATGTATGCCCGATCCATCTCCACTTTCTCCTACACATGTGTTGAGTTATCGGCTCTTGGTTTGTTTATTCCCATAGTTTCTTGCTGCTTATTCTTTCTGGCCATTTTGGTTTTCAGTATGGAACCAGCGAAGTGGGCGGCTGTTGATTAAAAAATTAAACCAGTTGAAAATCCTTTCCGTGGCATGCAAGGCAAGTTTCTGACCCGTATAGAAAAACCTATTTCACGTTGGTGTTGAAAATCCAAATCTTATTGCTTACGCTGAATGTGGAAGATTTCTAGATTCTTCTTAACAGTAGTCCAGTGTATTCCTGTCTCCTTGCTCCCTACAATCTTACGCATAATCCAGTCCACCACAAATATGAATATAATCGGTGATAATAGGCAGTCTTGTCTTACTCCTGTTTGCACTTGGAACGCCTCGCTGAGCTTTCCATTGAGAATTACTTGACACGTGGCATTGTCATATACCTGTTGAATGCGGTTGACAAAGACTTGTGATATGCCGTAGTGTTGAAGTAGTTCTCAAATTACTTCTCGGTCTACGTTGTCGAAGGCCTTCTCGAAGTCGATGACGTTTAGGTACAGGTTTGACTGCTTTTCTATGCTCTGACGATGCGTAGAGCTGCAATTCGATCAGCACATGATTTCCCTTTCCTGACTCCAGCTTGTCCGTTGGGTGGCAGAGTTCTGTATCCAGTGCATCCTTTATTCTCTCCAGGATGATGTGACTTAGTATTTTATTTTACATTCTCTTGTAAATTTATCAAAATGGTTGTAGGTTGGAATATTTATACGGAAGGAGTTGCAAGTACCGTTCAGTATTATCTAGTGAGGAGATGTCTCACTTTTATACTCAGAATTCACTAGTACAATATTTAATGATATATGGGAACATACTTTGGGACATGACAGCAAATGTCAAATATTCTGTTTCCCGTAGATAAGTAAAAAGAGATAAACCAAATGGTATCTTGAGTATTTCATTTGATTTTCAGACTCGAATGGTCTCATCTCTGAACAATAATTTCTGTCTGTGTAGATGAATTCGAGTCAGGATGGATTAACTCTAAAGTGATGTATGTCAGGTGTGCGTCGGTAGTATAGCGGTTAGGACGCTCGCCGACCATGCACATGGTCCGGGGTTCGATCACTGGCCAATGAACGCACTCCTTTACCTCACTGAGCCAGAAATAATTCTGTAAAGAGGAGACGTTGGGCATGAGGCTAGCAACCCCATCTTGTAAAATTAAAAATGAACACTGCTACAGAAACTTCAAGCCACTAGCTTGGGGCCCTATGTTCCACTGGGAACGTGAAGAAAAAATTATTATTATTATGATGTATGTCAGTATAAGCCTACAAATTATATGTGTAAATAAATAATGATAAAAATATGTCATTTTATGAAAACTGATTGTTTGTTCAGTTTCTAATGCATAAAATATGCGGGACACTGTATGATGATACTGTAAACCTAACATTCATGATATGAAGTTTAGAATGAATAATTTATCACCAAAAATGTTTTGTGGATATTTAATAAGTTTTGATAGTCAAATGCTTGTGATATGATTCTCTTGCTTTGCATGTTCTAGTCTCTTGAGGAAGTCATTGACACATGTTATGCAAATGAAAGTGAAAACACTGGAGCTTACTGGTAAAGTCCTTCGTTCTCGTACTGAGTCAGCCTTAGTTAATAATGCTAGCAGGAAAGAAATTTTGATCTAGTGTTTCTTGTGAAGCGACACCACCTGACATCTGACACAATTCTGCATTGTTTTATCATTTATCTTAATGAGTATATAGCACGAATGATTTATAAATCTTTATCAGAAGGTCATGGAATGGGTGGGCAGTGGAGTTAGTTTTGATTACACGATTAATAAGCCTGGGTGATGAATCCCACAAACCTCAAGCCCTAGATATAAGGCTTTGTATAAATTATCTCAAAACAGTTTTATATCGAATAAACTGTATTATAATAATAAGTATCCAAGCTGGGTACTCCTAAGTCAGATCAGACCAGTGGAATCAGTTCAACATTTACATGTGGCTTGTATAACACCTATAAGTTTTTAGTTTTCTTTGCGTTCACTTGTGTCTCGAGTGAAATATGGTGCTTCAAATTTGATATCTCAAGTTTCAGCAGTGATCATTATGTATTTTACGGTATTAGATTGCTTGCCTTACTCTAAACCTTTCCAAATCACCAGGCTAACTACTGGTTAGGCGGTCTACGAGAGCGCAGGCTTACAACCAAGTCCAAATTATGTGTGTTTGTGTAGTTGGCGAGCATTCCATTTCTAAGCCACCCACACAACTGCTCTTCATTACACAACTAATATTGTGCTTTTTTATTGAATGCCTTAAAGAATTTATTTAAAATATTTGCTTAAAAAGAATAACTTGAGATTATCATAATTATTATTAAATAAATTCTTTTTTACACTTTAGGTCCACCAAGGAATTCCCTACTTAGGAGACAGAGTGGTAAGTTGCTTAAATGTAAATAAACGTTTTTTCTCGTCAACTTACCTAATACGTTCTATTTTAAAACAAAATGTATCCATGAATACTGTTGATACATTCGTGTTTCACTTCCAGTTAAGAGTACATGGTAACAGTTCATCCTACAATTCAGTGCCCTTAGCGGTTATGGGCTAAAAAACAAATATACAAGTGAAAACGAATTGAAAATACTTAAGAATGTCCTTAACTCAGGATGCACGTATTTCTCAGTTTCATTGTTGCTCAGTATGGCGGTATTAGCCTGAGATACTCAAGCTATAGACTACTGATTGATTGACGTGAGTAGTTGTATACAACGCATATCAAACAGAAGTGTTTGCTAGCCAGATCATCGGAGTGATCTACACACCAGATGCTCGTTTCGTTCGCTTTGTAACAGGCTCATCAGCGGTGTGCGTGGTTTGATTGAGTTCAGAGTCGAACCAGTTCAAATCACCCGATTTCTGTATAGCCACGTGGACAAACTTGTACCAACATAATTCAGATTTGCAATTTGTAATTTACGTAGTTTGAGGAGGGAAGATTTCATTGCAGATTTTTCCTCGAAAAACGGAATTATTGAAGCGACAGTTATGTTTTGCACAGTGACAGTTATTTAGTTCTTTTTCTAAGCAATAACTGGCAAAATTGTACAGCTTTAAAAAAATTGACACTGCCTAAAGTTGTGTACAAGATATTACCCATTAATTTTGGAAAAAGTTAAAAGTATTTGAAATTTCAATCATTTATGCTCTTTTCAATGGTCATTCAAAAGGTTTGGGTACACATGTTATGTCGGCAGTCTTTATAAACTATGATATCTAGTGATAAACGTAAAACCTAGAAGTAACACTACTTCATTCAACATTTTTCGACGCCTTTGAATTTGTAAGTTCAGAGATGAGGGAAACAGTTTGTGCTAGTCTTTGTCACCCAGTCGAATGAATTCTTCTTCTGAAGTATCTCTTCTATGCAAAATAAATATTCTGTCTAATACCAACCTCACGACACAAAACTTCTTCTTACTTGCTCATCCGTTCCTGATCTACATCACTTTCAGTGCTATATTCGAATATCTTTTTGGCACATTTACCTATGCTAACAAATTTTATCCTATAGCTAACAACTCCTCGATAGAAAACAATATATTCTGATTAGATTTCCGTAAACCGTAAATAGCCTAATCTTGCTTGTTTTCCATTTTAACTGACTTATAGAAAAAAATATCCGTGTTTATCAAGTTATAATGTAAGCACAGATGTATAAAATGTAACTATAGTCTGCAAACATACCACTGAAGTCTCATATTAAATGCCAGTACAAATCACCCATTGAAAAATCTCTGAGTACAGCAGTGAGTAACAACAACAAGTGATAAACAATTCTTCGAGTGGAATCTGCATAGTAAACGATGAGTGACGTGTCAAATACGACGTGAAGATCTCGCGATAAGGAAAACAGAGTTTATGACCTATCGTGGAGACAGCTAAACAGGACAGCAGACAGCAGAGCGAAATGGAGATGTGCTAGTGATGCTCTGTGCTCCAGTGGGAATCCGAGGGAATAATAATACAATAATGACAAGAACCTTTTGAATCTAGGACAATAACATTATGTTATTTAATACAGAGTCAAGTAACACTTTGAGCGTATTGTGTAAAGACAGTGCTTGAAAGGCTAATCAAGTAACACATACTGCAGATAAACTAGTTACTGGGAATGCCTGCAGGCGCAGTCTATTTGTCAAAGTCACAAAGATTTCCATCCAAAAAGTAGGTATCAACAAATAAATCAACTATATTGTCTACTGGCTTTATGAGAATACTTCATGTTAAAGTTAGTTAAATAAAATCTTAATTGATACACATTGAATAACACATGATTGTTTTAAACCCTAATTCTGCTGGCAGTCTAATGTGCGCTTTGTTTAAAACTAAATCTCTGGCATGTTACCAGTAGATAGTTGTTATGCAAATTAAATGAGTAATAAGGTTATACAGTAGAATAAATTTCAGAAAGCAGTGTAGCGAAAGAAGAATTCTTATCCGGTATATATTCTCTTGCCTATTTACCACTGGCTACTGAATGTAGGGCAATATATTATCGTTTCAGTCATTTATCATTCCTCATAGAATATATACGCGCATCTAAATATAACCCAGTTTATACTGCTAATCATTTTGACGTCACAACTGTTGTCAATATATACTTAAGCACATAATTTATAATAGTGAGTACTTGTCATCAATTAGGTTATGATGCTCAGCTGCTTTGATTTATTGATAAAAAATTCTGATAAATTCGTTATAGACTTTTCCAGAAGAAATTGTTTAGCTCTAAACAAGATTGAAGCAAACAAGTGTTGCGTTAAAGATATTCTATTAACTATTTAAACACGATTTTATGGATTTATTTATAGACTCAGTTAAACCGAAATAATAGAAGGTACTTAAACAGTATATTACAGTTATAACATCAGAGTACGAAGTTAATTTGAGGGAGGGGGAGGGGGAGGGTGAAGTTTGGTCCTTTGTCTACAAATTTAGTAATATAATACACAGGTTACAGAATTTCATCATGAGCTGACATGAGTTAGAGAACCCCTGAAATACCAGAGAGCACTGAACAGTCGTTTCGTTCTAGTTTGCGACTCTTCAATATCATACACCCACCTTGGTTTGAACCCAGGATCTTTCAGTCACAATGTGACTTCGTAGACCTCTAACCCACTAGGACCCCATCCAATGGGCAGCCCATGTGTTCCAGCTTTTGCGAATTCACGATACAGAGCGACCACTAGCCACTGTCAGTGGCGATTACCTGTCCTCATACTCAGAGGTCCTTGAAACGCATATCTTGATGATTCTTCTGCAAAGTCGGATGTTGATTTCTCTTTTTTTAACGAAAGTTCAAATTCCCTTACTTTTTCGAAAAATGCTACTCATAATTATAATGAAAACCAAGCAGCCACAAGGAAATAATATATATGTATATTTATTTATCTTTCATGTAAGAATTGGTTTTTTAGAAACTGTAAAGATGAGATAAACAGTAGTTTTTTTTAAAATGGGATAAACGTAATGTCCAAATAGGAAGAACTGTCATCTTTAACCTCTAAAAAACACTACGCAAATTCATCGTTCCACTCTCAGCACAGCCTTTGAAAGAAGCTGGAGGTACATAAAATGTTTCCCAGATATTCATAAATCAGCAAATCAGTCACCACGAAAACTGAAATAACTGGGGTTAGTATATTTAAAGCAGTCTGCTGAAGAGAAAAATTGGACATCCTAAAGCGTTGGTGGCAGAGCGGTTAGGACGCTCGTCGACTATGCATATGGTCCGGCGTTCGATCACCGACGCACTCATTTACCTCGCTAAGCCAGAAATAATGCTTTAAAGAGGGAAGGTCGGGCATGAAGCCAGCAGCCCCATCCTGTAAAATAAACACTGCTACCGGACTTCAAACCACTAGCTCGAAGCCCTATGTTCCACTGGGGAACGGAAAGGGAAAAAAAGCTAATTGGCTACCTAAAGTTGTGCAGTTGATGACAGTCCTTGCATTCGGAGATTCTTATGTTGTGAACTGAAAGTGATTGAATGAATATCATATCGACCATTTCCTTTCACTCCTTGCCTTCCGAGTGGAAAAAAAGGTTTCAGGATTTCAAGTTTCAATAAAAGTGTCGTTGTTTCCACGGTAGGATCTGCCTGTCAGAAGCCAAACATCCTTTCGGGGCTCCCTAACACCAAGTAAACTAAACTAGTGTCGTCCGGAAATCCAACGCAGACCTATCGAGTGACTGGTGAGCCTCCCACCACCGACGCACATCACAGTAACTGGGTTCGTGGTGAATACTGTTTTAACGGAACATGATTTGCTGACTGTTAGCAAAGCTAGAGATGCCATTATATTTTGTTTTTGAGAAGGATATAGACTTTATAGGATATGGAGTATGTGATGAGAAAAAATAAGGCCATGAAATCGATTTCCGGTGGTTGGAGGCAATCAATAAGAAGTCTTGGACCAAGATTTTGTACTTATTTGCAATCGTCGGTAGGGTTAAATCAGATCAGAGGTAACACCTCTGACTTCAGCGACGACTGGCGCAGATTTAAATTTACAAGCAGGCATCATATCATTCAACGGTAGAACTGATGTTAGTAAAAGATGGCTATATTCTAGAGAATGCCTTCGTACATAGTACAGGAGGTTCAGCATCTATTATTTTAAGGTATTTAGCCATTTTACAACAATTTCAAGCCATACATTAATCTGTAATGCATCATTTGAGGCAATATTGTCTTATTCAAATCCTGCTGTAATACTATTTACAGTTTTACTCCGTTTCTTTTCAAAAAATCCAGATAAGTAGTCTGAAGCGTATTAAAAATGTGAGCCAATGTACGTTACTATTCATTGACGCAAGTGGGGATTAAAATATTGTGATGAATGGTTTGCATTTTCGTAGGAGGCAAAACTAGATAGTCCAGTGATTTGAGCACACTCTCTTGCTTAGGAGCGTCAGTAAAACCAAAACCTGTGTCTAAGACTTCCTTCAGATTGAAAGCGTATCACAGTAGACAGTCAAGTAGCTTACTAATCACATTGTAAAATTGACTGATACAATTCAGTTAGCACCAAAACATGCCACTGGTTATTAACTACTGACTAATCAAAGTACAATAAAAATCTTAGTAGATAAATGATAATAAATTTAGAGGGCGAAAGAAGACGAATTCGACTTATTCTGGAGCTGGAAGGTTTCCTATTTTTCTAGAAACCTGGACAGCTTTCCCAGCCTCGTACATTGTACGATAATTCCAAAATACCCATCCTTATTTTTACTTTCTTTCGAAAGAAGACACATCGGATGACCGCCTCTGCGAAGCTATCGTCAACCCACGTCATTTCGTCTCTCCGATTCTAGCGGGGGAAAATTTTGTGTTTTATATTCTTATTGTGCGTTGAAGGTTGTGTA